GATCATAAATATATAAATATAATTATTTCGTGTAAACAATTTTATTTAAATAATAAAAAAAAGAATTTAAAAATCATTTAACCTATGTAAAATAAAATTGATTTGAACCTAAATTTTCTTTGTTGTAAATAATTTTATTTTTGTACACAATAAAATTAATAAAAAAGTAATAAATAAAACTCAAATCAAATCCATATACACAATGTTTCAAATAACTTATCATCTAAAAGGAAAATGTTCCCACACAAAAATTAAAGTTTAATTGAAATTACGAAATTACGTAATTAAATGATATCAAGCAGCAAAGATTTCAAGTACTTGCGGCCAAAGGGGCACAGAGAAGAAGCCAAAAGTTCTATTCAAATAGATGTAATAAGCGTTTCCGTACCAACAACCAGCAAAAGCAACAAGGCACAAGGATAACAACCCCTAAGGGAAGCCTTCCATGCCCTCCTTTTTGCTCTTGTTGTTGTTGTTGTCATTGAATTGAAACAATCTTCTGCGCATTAATTTAACACTGAAGGTTAAACATAAATGTTTTCAATATTTAACGCGTTACCAGGGCTGAAATCTCTCAGCTCTCCAGGCTCTACGTGTCATGTGAGAGTTTCGCCCGCTTTGACTTCCCACGCAGAAATACCACCCCAAAAACGAAAAAACAAAAAAAAAAGTCTCAATGATTTTTACATGCATATTTTTTCTGGGGTGTTCCCAGGGCCGAGATCAACGTAATATACACGTCAAAACTTCCAATTAGAGACAATCATTCGGCCACGGGACAGAAGACCTAACACATCATCGACTCTTCGCATTTGTTAGGGGTTGATACGAACGAGTTCACCTACAAAAACCAAAGCAAAAGCCAAAATTCATTTCATTTCTTGGATAACATTCAGAGCAACAGGACGAACACTCAGGGTGGATATATGTAGATGGATATATATAATATTAAAGACCTCCATATGGATTTGAATTGTTTTGGTTGGTTTTATTGCGGTTCGAGTCAATTAAGTGGAATATTATGTGATTTCTTTTGCTATTTGCTATTCTTCATTGAATGGTTTTTCCGTGTTTAACCTGTCAGAAAAATTTCCATATGAGCAACATTTATAGATCAGAGTTTTATTGGCACAGCTGCTGAATGGATTATAAATATATGCACACATGATGCCAAACGCAAATTATTTTAATTGAGTTCAGAATCGCATACTTTTGTCCTTTTATATGGTGCATGACCTCAATGGTTCGCTGGGTATTCATTGCTTAATCGTTGGAAAACGTTTGCGATCTATTTGCGATTATCTAACTGAAGGACAACAAAATTATCAGAATTGCCCAAAAATTCATATAATAGAGTAGAATTAATATCAAACACAAATTTATTTTAATACTTAAAGTATAAATTGTATAATTAAGAAACCCAAGATCCCACTTCTGTTCCCTAAAGTTTTTTTTTTTTTTTTTTTGTCTAGAAACAATACGCATTTGCTATACAAGTTGCTATAATAAATAGGAGTTTACATTTGAAATTAACGAAAGCTTTAAACTTTCACAGCTGACATTGTTTTGATTTTAAATACATGTGCTGCACACAAGCGCCAGCACACACTCACACCGTGTCATGCACATAAAACACATGCGCACATGCTCTCACATATTGTATTCTTATCAGATCTCAGCCACACACTCTCACATATTGTACGCAGTCAACGAAATTCGTATAATATTTGTTTGGCTTCGGTTATCACTGAGAACGTGCATGAATATTATTTATACTCATTATCAGGTTATTAATAATTAACATTTCAATACTTTTTATACTCTTCTACACTCAAAAGCTTTTATTTTGTTTACATTTACTGTGCAACAAAGTGCACTTGCTATAAATGTTGCCATAATAATAGTTGAGAGATGGGCAACACTTGTCCCAGCTGGCGTTGCTTTGAAGTTCTAATACAATGTACTACATATTCACACACAAATGCACTCAAATGACACACAAATAACACACGCACACATGCGCCTAGATCTCTCGCTCATACGTATATACACATAGATACGTATTTTGTACACAATCAACGAAATTCGATTAATTTTTGCGGTTTATCGTTGCCAACGAGCATGAAAATTGTTTTGTTTATTTCCGAGTGCGATTCAAAAAGAACAAATGCCGTTACTTGTTGCCGGTCCTTATGCAAATAGTATATAGTTTTTGATATTTGTGTATATTAAGTGTAACGCGCAACGAAATACGCTGCTCCACCAGCTGCTCCACGGAACCAGCTGCTGCTCCATCATCTCCTGCTCGCTTTCTGTGATGTAATGTGATTTTCTGCGTGCCTTGAGAGAAAGAAAGATGTGAAGCACAACATAAATGTGGACCCAGAGACTGACACGAACATTGGCACTGAGCCAAGGTGTAAACAAAATGCGTCTCGGCACACGGCGTAAGTGAAATACTTCCCCAAATATAAAACTGATGCAAATTACAGATAACAGGTTTCTATATTAGATTATATGTATGTATGTATGTTTCGCATTTTGCCTACACATTGTTTAATGCCACGGCACCTGGTTGCCAATGGTGCCCTTCTTATAGTACTTTGCTGTGGCCGCTGCTGTTGTTGCCAGCGCTGCCGGCGTAGCTGGATTTGGTTCATAGGTTGGTCCACTGCCCTCCGCCTTGAGCACCGCTGCACACTTCCATTGCCGTGTGTAGTTCATGCGCCAGATCCTAACACAACCATCGTCTCCGGTAGAGATTAGCATCGTGGCCAGCATATTCCAGCAGACCCGCCAAACGGGGCAATTGTGTTCGCTAAACTTCAACGTTTGCAGCTCCAATTTGCCAGCACCCGTCGAATCACTAGAAATACAAAGTTAACTATAAATAGATGTTATAAATTTATATATGAAGTGATCACCCACGTCACGCCTCGAATATTGACTATATAGAGATCCTTGCTGGCCACGGCGAGCATGTGAAATGTGCGTCCTGCATTAGGCGCAAAGGCAACATCGGTCACGGGATCTGTGATATCGTTGACTGTTTCAATTTTAACGCATTTGCGCGCATTTTCGCTGTAGGCGTATAAGAAGACCTTGCCAGTGGGCGTGGCAGATTCATCGCTGCCAGCCTGCAAAGATATTCATCGATAAATATTTATTGGTCTAAAGCTCTTTTCCACTCTACTCACCGCTAGCAACTGGGTGACCATATAGGTGGATGTGTTCCATGAGAGACAGCTTAATGACAATTTATTTGCAATCTCTTGCTGCACTGGCCATTGGGACAGATTCATTATGTCGGGCGCTTCGTAAATGCGGATGATGCCATCTGCCGAAGCGGTGGCTAGGAGCA